GGAACTACTGAGCGCCCTCTTCTAAGGTCTGACAAGCCCCTCTTTGAGGCAGGAGCCTGTTTTGTGCATGTGGGTGTGTGTGTATTTTGTGTGTGAGGATCTGTAAGTGACTATAGCAAGCCTTCATGGAGCAGCCACCATCTGTTCCGTCTGAAGGGAAGTCCTAGCTTCATTAGCCCCCAGCCAGCACCCCCAGGGTGCAGGCACACGCTCTCCTATCTTTCCCTTGCTGATGGATGCGGGTACACGGAGGAGGCTGGCAGGGGCATGACTCACCAGCCTTAGTCACCCTGCCTGGGGGACTTCTCTTCCTACAGGATGATGGCCCCAAATAAAAACATGGATGAAGAGCCAGATCGTGTTCCAGGCTGTGGGACATCTGAGCCACTAAGGAGGAAGCTGAATTCATTATTTCACACATCCTTCAGCCCCTTATCACTCCCATCAGGGGCATCACGGAGAACCCCAGAGCTGAAGGGGCCTAGCGGTGAGCAGAAGACTGGAGTCACTTTCCCACTAAGGTCAATGCCTCAGCAGATCCTGGCCAGCCACATTCTTGGCTCCAGTGTGTGTACAGTGCTTTACAGTTTACAAAGTGTTTTCATACATTTTTCTCATTTGATTCTCACAAGACCCTTGTGAGGCCGTTCTTGGAGAGGCAGAATAGCGTAGAGGTGGAGTGTGTGACCTCTGGAGCCAAACAGCCTACATCTGAATTGATCTCTCTTGCTACCAGCTGAGGCACTGAGCAAATCCCTTCACCTCACTGTGCCTCAGTTTCCTCACTGCAAAACTGAGGCTAATAAGAATACCTACTCTGTACAGGACTAATGGCTTACTGCTTTTTTTTTTTCTGTCTCTCCCAATTAAACCATAAACTATAGAAAGAAGAGATCTTTGTTTTGTTCTCTGAGTGTCTGGAGTATTTAAGACAGTGCCCAGCACGGAGAAGTTTGCAAAAAATAGTTGTGCAATGAATGAAGCTTGGAGCAAGCCAGGCACATGGTATGTATCACACGTGTTAGCTGTTGTAGTCAGTTTGGGCTACTGTAACAAAAATACCATAGACTGTGTGGCTTAGACACAGAAGTTTACTCTTCACAATTCTGAAGGCTGGCAAGTTCAAGATCAAGGAGTTAGCTGATTTGGTTCCTTGTGAGATCCCTCTTCCTGGTTTGCAGAGAGATTCCTTCTTGGTGTATCCTCACATGGTAAAGAGAGAGATCTTGTCTCTTCCTTTTTATGTGGGCGTTTATCCCATCATGGCCTGATTAACTCTAATTACCTCCCAAAGGCCCCACCTCCAAATACCATCACATTGGGGATGAAGGTTTCCACATATGAATTTGTTGGGGGAGGACACAAACATTCAGTCTGTAGCAGCTATTATTATAAGATTTCCTCTATTTTGTGGATGTAGAAACTGAAGTTTAGAGCACTGAAGCGAACTGCCTGAAGTCACGAAGCCTAGACTTGGCCAAGCTGACACTTAAAATGGGGCTACTTACTCTAAATCAAGGGCCCTTCCTCTCATACCATGACTATCCTGATTCCTCCTCCCATTTCCTCTCTTTGATCTTTCCCCTCACACTCTCCATTAAATACTCATGAAGGTTGAGTTGATTGAGTTAATCCAGTTCCTTTTCTTTAGCATAAAGAGCTATAGGACTTTCAGCAAGTCATAACTCCTGTGCGAATAATTTCTCTCTCTCTTAAATGGACTTCATAATAGAACCTACCTCATAGTTTCAATTTTATAAGGAGTAAATGACAGGTAATGAATGGAAAGTGACAGACCCATAGTAATAATAGCTTATACACATAAACTATTTTTAATCATCATCTTCATTATCTTTAAGGGGGCCACCAGTCACGATTTAAAATATACCTTAGATTTAGGCTCATAAAATGTTAGAATTGGAAAGACTCTCACTGAATTGTCAATATTCAATATGGTCCAATTTTTAAATTTTATATGTGAGGAAATCTCAGAATCATTTCCCTTCCCCAAGGTTATAATACTTGTTAAAAAAAATATATCCTAGAGGGAACTAGGGTGAAGCTTTACAGGGACTCTTTCTACTATCTTTATAAGTCTTTCACGAATCTAAAATTATTTCAAAATAAAAGTAACAACAATAGCTGGTGAAGCTACTTGTAAAAAATAATCACATAAATTATAAGGCAGAGAGAGGAATGAGGGTGTGTGGGATTGGGAGGAGAGGTGGAGAGGTATTTAGGAAAATTCTCCAATTACCTTGTTCCTCCCCAAAGAGATACTGACTTGTATTTTAGTGCATTTGTCCTGTCTCTGTTCTTGCTAATCTGTTAAACCCATCCATTGATTTCTTATATTCAGCGTCCTTTTGTTTTTTGGTTTTTTTGGCTATTAAGTAACTACTCAATTTTTAAAACTTTCTATTCTCTGTTGAAATTCTCCATTTTCATCTATTTTGTGCATCTTCTATTTTCTGAACATATTAATAATGATTTCTGTGTTCTTGACTTTTAACTCCAGTGTCTGTATCACCTGTGGATCTACTTCTTACTATGTATTTTTTCATTTGATTATTAGTCATATATTCCTGTCTCTTCACAGGCTTAGTAATTTTTGATTGAATGTTAGAAATTATGTATAAAAATACTGCAGAGTCTCTATGAGATGGTTATTTCCCATCAGACAGTTCTTGCTGGCGTTTGCAAGACACAAAGTGTGGTCAGTCTCATTAATCCAGTCAGGATCTCAGCTGGGGTGTGGCTGTATTAGAGATTTGGTGAGACTCAGTGCACCTTGGGTTTACACTGTTCTTGGGATGTGGACCCTCCTCAGCATCCAGCTGAGGACCTGGCAGATTGTGTCCTCAACACCAAGAGAAATGTGAGAATTTCCACTCTGCTTTTCAGAGGTTTGTCAGTTTCTCTCTTTTGTTGTCCTCCCTGCATGGCTTTGGACTTCAGCACGTGTTTGGAGGGGAAACTGGCTGCGTATCTGAGGTCTCTCAAGTCTCCTATTTTGTTTTTCTAGTTCCCACGTGACTGTCAGAAGTTCTGCTGCTTTCTCTGCTCCGTAACAATGCCCTCTGTTTAGGACAAGCCCAGATTATCAGTCTGCAGTCCTGCCCAGAATCCGAAAACACTCCCAGGGGGAGGGGGGAGGAGATACAGATCTCCAGTCATCTCTAAATAGCTCCCCTTACCCCTCAGATATTTGTCTCTCTTGAGAACTTCTGCAGCTCTCTAATGCTTTTATAAATATTAGCTCTGCAATTTATCTGGCTTTTCTAATTGTTCCCAGAGGAAGTGTTGGCTTGCTGTGAAAGATTCCATCTTATCCAGAAGCACTCCCAAAAAAGAGATTATGAAGGATTGAAAAATTGGGACAATACCTATTGTGAAATCATTTTTTCCTCTCTCTTGTCTTCCTCTTTTTTCCCCTATAGCCTTCTAGGTCTGAGTGTAGAGGACAGGATAATTCCAGATCTGCTACTTACCTACTGTGTGACATCAGAAAATTAATTTTACCTCTCCACCTCTCAGTTTTATCTGTAAAATGGGGATTTTGTGGAAATTAAGTGAGGTAACGTATGAGTGGCGCCCAGCGCAAAGCCCGGCACATGGTTATTTTAGTCTCTTTCTCCTCTGTCTTCTCTCCCCTCTTTCCACAGCTGATTTGACCAAGCTTTCTTCTACTGGTGGTTGGGAGAGTTTTTCTACAAAGGGATCAGGATTAGTGGTTTAAAGGTAGTTTCTTCACCGACTGGTAGAAGGTGGTCAAAAAGCTTGGCCTCGGGTCCATTCGATATAAGAAGAGATAAAGCAAGATCTCTACTCACAGCTTGTGGTCCTTGGAAATGACAGCATCAGGGTATGAGGAGGATAACAGTAATTTAGGAGAGGTGATGGGGCTTCCCAGGGGACTGGCAGTCACAGCAGGCTGAGTCTATGCCCAAAGTCCTCTGGGGGTGCAGGACAGCCATGGAACAGGGCTGCTCTAATCTGTCGCTCCTCAATTGCCCTCCCCCTGACCCTCACCACCTACCCATGCTAGGCACTTACCTGTTTGCTTTCATTTAAACCTTACAGCTACCCTAAGCAGAAGCAGTGGTGTGTGGGAGTCAGCTCATACCAGCTTGGCTGGTGAGAGCCAGTTTTCAAGAATTTTGCCAGCTGGTGGACATCATGTTGATAACTTGAAATCTGCCATTGCGGGACTATTTACACCGTGGAAATTAGCAAACACCTCCAGCCAGGGCTCTTCTTGTCTTCCAGAGAGCTGGTTGTTAAATATTTACTGGCATACAATTGGATGTAAGTGTTGTTACCATTTTACAGTTGAGTAAACGGAAGCTTTGTGATCCACATTCTCAGAGCAAGAAGCGGCACAGCCAGGATTCAAACCCAGATCTGTTTGGGTCCAAAGTCCTCAAGTACTTTTCCCTGGGGACATCACCTGTTTTTTTTTTTTTGTTTGTTTGTTTCCAGGATGGTCAAATATAACCTCAGTTTATATTTTAATTTTTATTTTTTTAACCTCCCCGCCCCCGCCTTAATAGAGGCACTGGGGTTTGAACCCAGGACCTCGTGCACGCCAAGCACATGCTCTACCACTGAGCTCTACCTCCCAACCCCCAACCCCAGTTTACGAAGAAATAAAAGTGCTATATTCTCCATTTTCTCTCCCACCTTTCCACTCTGACTCCAGCATGAGTATGCAAAGAACCTCAGAATCTCACTTTTTCTCACTGTGATCCTCCTCATGACCTCCAGACACAGGCAGCCTGCTTTTTATCATCCACATTCTACAGATGGGGACAAAGCCCTGTGAGGTAGGATGACTCCCAGCCCTGTGCTCACACACCAGTGCTGGGACTCAACAGAGGCCTCCTCACATGAATTCAGAAACCTTTCGTCATCTCTGGTACTTCATAATCCAGAAGCAGAATTCTCACTTCAGATTCAGAGTCAGCCACCATGTATGTTTCTTTTCATTTTCCCTTCAGGTGACAGGAAGCCACTGCTGGCCCTCGGCAGGCTCTGCTCACTGCAGCTGCAACCATGGTGAATCGGGACGTAGCTGGGAAGGGGATTTTGCAGAAACCGCGGCAGGGCTGCTGCCTAGAGGCTGAGGATGTAGATTAAGGTACCAGCAGGACCTGGGCTTGGATTCTGACTCCACCATCTACCTTTGCTGGGGAACTTGGACTAATTGCTGTGTTATGGTTACCTCACCTATAAATTGGGAGTAAGAACACCTACCTCAGTAGGAGGTATAGCTCAGTGGTAGAGTGCATGCTTGGTATACATGTGGTCCTGGGTTCAGTCCCCGGCTGAGGGGGGGGAGCGGGGGTGGGGGAGGAGCGGAATGAAATAAAAAACTTACAAAAAGAACACTTACCTCACAGGCTTGTGAGGATTAACTGAGTTAACACCTAGAACAGGAGCTGGCATGCAATCTGTGCCCAATAATTGGTGGATTGGAGGCACATGGAACAGACATTTTGGACAAACATCAAATCAATATTTGGCTGAAATATGACCGTAGAATAAAATTCTTGGGAACAAGAGTAAATCTTAAATTTTATTTAGTTACTATTGCAATTTTGTTCTTCTGAAAATTCAGTAGCCAAGTTTCTAAAGTGTGTCATAATGCAGAAATAATACTTTCTCAGCATGTTCAGCAGTTGAATTGTGCCTGCACTCACCACACGGCACACTTGGGATGTTAAAAAACAGCTGGATTTCATCTAAGGTGGGTAGAGGGAAATTTTCTGGATACCCCACTTTTCTCTGACATTTTCTTATCTTTTTTTTGTTATCATGACTGGATTGAATGTGACATATCATGGATGTTGTATGTTTCTTCCTTCTGAGATTTTGAGGCAACAAAGTTGACATTCTGCTGGTTTGTTTATTTGTTTGGTTTTTTACATTCAAATATGTATTTAATGGTAGAAAATAATTCCTTTACATATTGACATTCTGCTCTTAATGCATCCTCACGAGATAAGAAAATTCTGTCTTTTCTTAAAAGACTCAAGGACTAAATGGCATTAGATACGAATTACAGTTCTCTGAGGGGAGGGTATAGCTCAAGTGGTAGAGCACATACTTAGCATGCAGGAGGTCCTGGGTTCAACCCCTAGTACATCTTATAAAAATAAATAAGAAAACCTAATTACCTACCCCTCCAAAAAAAAAAGAATTACAGTTCTCAAAGTTTATTTGGTTTACAGTTATAAATGCTGGTTCACCAAACAATTCTGCAAAGACTAGATTTATGATATGATCACTGTCATTTTGCTTTATATTATCATTTCATTTAAATTTTCATAATTGTTTCATAATTCAAAAAGGCTGTAATGTTTTCCAAGAATTTTTCTCACTCAGTGGTGCTCAGTGTGGGTGCTTAGACAAACCGCATCATTATCATCTTGGAGCTTGTTATAAAGGCAAATTCTTGGGGTGGTCCAGAGACCTATCCAATCAGAATGTCTGGAGGATGAACCCCCACCCTGCACACTGAATCTATATTTTAATCAGCTCTCCAGATTCTGATGTCCCTAAGTTTGGTCACTGATTTAGCCAACCCACTCTCCTGATATTTACATAGTTGTCCCTTTATTTCTTTATATCACCATTTGAAAATTGTACACAGAGCTGCCAGCTTTCACATTCCTCGTGAATTATTAGACAATTTTATCCTAAAGCCAATAATTTCAATAGAGCATACAAGGAGATTTCCACTTCAAGGTTCATTGGGAACGCTTACCTCCATGGAAATAGAACTCACATATATCAATAAATTGGAATGACATGCCCTGTTTGTATTGCTAATGTTATACTGGCAAGACATGATGGCAAAATATGTGACCACACGATGACCCATCATGTTCAAGTTCAGAAATGCCACTGAAGGACATATTTCACAACTCAGTCTTCCAAAGGATGAAGTCAAAGCAGAGTAGCAAATTTTGGTCATATATAGAGATCAGAGCTGAACTTTGAGGCATCCCTAGCAGCTATTATTAACTAGCAAGGTGACACTGCTCTTCAAGGGCCAGGAGGGGCTTCAGTCTCCTTATACACCACCCCCCAGCCATGCCAACCATCCACCCTGCCAATCCCAGTTTGCAGGGAGCTCAGGATTCCACATCTTTAAGTGATACTTTCATCTGTTCAGGTACCCAAGTCAAAGCCTCTAATTTGACACCAAATGCTATTAATCCCATTAATTCCATGTTTTAACTTTCTTTCTGCTGCATCCACCTCTCTCCCTGACCCCAGCACAGGTTTTTCTTACAGCTTTCATTCTGATCACCCTATAATCTACTTTTTACACAGCAGCCAAAGCGATTAAGTATGTGTATAAACCAGATCCTGTTATTCTTCTGCTTAAAACTCTCCATTGGCTTCCTATGCTGAAGATTTTTTTGTTTTGTTTTTTTTTTTAATAGAACACATTGCCAACCATATAAAGAACGCAAAGGAAAAAGACTGGAAGGAAATATGTCAAAATGTTAATGGTGGTTACCTCTAGGGGATAGGTTATGAGGATTGCTGCTTTTTAAGTTAAAAAATTTTTTTATGCTTACTTGTATTTTTCTAAATGTTCCACAATAGATAAGATTTATTTTATTTTATTTTATTTCTTAAGATTTATTTTTATAAGAAAAAAATCTGGAAAAAAATTAAAGTGGATAGATAAAACAAACAAACAAAAAAATAGAACACAGTGGCAACTTCCAAGCCCTCTCCAGAGGCTCTGCTGCTCCTACAGCTTTATCTGCCCTAAGAGGCTTGGGTCCCAAGAGTCCATTGCTCTTGCTCTTCAGTGAAGCTTGAATTGACTCCACTGTGTCAAAACGGAGCGTCTCCTGGGAAGACGGGCCAACAGGACATCCGGAAGCCTGAGGCCAGATACCGGCTCCTATCCCGAATGCCTGGCAGATGGGGGCTGGGAGTTCTCTAGGTAGGGAATAAAGAAACCCAGGCGAAGCATTTGGTTGGCCTGGGGATAGGTTCAAACTCTCTACCCAGCAGCTTTGCTTCTCCTTAGGATGCACAATCCTTTCAGAGAAGATGTCCTTGTTGATTAGAAACACCGTGGCGGAGACAGGCAGGCAGCGCAGAGGGCCAAGTAGAGTGGAAAGAGGGTTAGGCTTGGCTTGAGTTCTAGTCCTAGATTTTCTATTTACTTGCCAAATGAACACAAGTAGGTACTTTGTTTCCTTGAGCTAGTTTTTCTTCTTCTTCTTCTTTTTTTTTAAGATCTGTGAAATGGGCACTAAACCCCTATTGTAGAATTACTTAATCACAAACAGGAAGGGGATTCTGCCCTAACCACATCCCTAACAGAGGGAAGAAAGTCCCACCTGAATCTGTTTTAGAACTTTATTTGGCTATTTCCCCTTCTTTCCCAAACTATCAAGGGGATTGAGAATATCACGTGAGATACCAGATGCGAAGGTGCTTCGTAATCCAAAGGGGACCAGAAGAGGGGCTCTACCACCTTTCAGAAGCCATGGTCCAGTGACACAGTGTCCCCCCCGTGAACGCATGGTGGTTTCTGAAGAAATGCCCGTTGAAGAATGTTTTGTGGTCAGAATGTATTCTCTCACCCTCTCATTCTTTCCTTTAATTTTTTCTTTGCTCATGTGGCCAACACTTCTTCAGTATTACTCTATGCCAGTCCCTATTCTTGTTACAGGGCAGAGTGGTGTAAACAAGGCAGATCTGGTCCTTGCCCTTAAGCGGCCGTCTATGGGACAGGAGTCTCAGAGGCTTCTGATGCTGTGTGATTGGTGCCAGGATAGAGGAACACACCGGGACTCAAGGGTCACAGAATCCTTATATCTGTCCTTCCTAAGATGGGGAGCAAAGTGTTCCCCCAGCCCAACCTGAGACATCCCTTTGCTCTAGCTCATGGATCCAGGGTAGACAGCAGATGGGGAAGGTCTGGGGAGGCTCCACACAGGAGGAATCCAGGCTGGGCACATTTCCTACTGTAACCCTACTGCCCAGACTCCTGTGTCTCCCTGTAAGGTGTCTGCAGAGCCAGTCATGCCATTTCAATTTTCTCCGATTAAACACCACTAAGGCGGGGAGACTTGGAGTGCAGCCTGGCCAAGGGGTTATTTATTCCATCACTTGAATCACAATACATCTCCAAATTTCCCTTGATTTGGCTAATTTAAGAGATTAACGCCCAGATGTGATGGGGGCAGGGTTGCCATTAAGTGTCACAAACCTCCCATTTTGTACCGGCTAATGGGAGACCATAATTGCCCAGATGGTGGGAGAGCATGATTAGTTCCTTTTTTATGCCAAGCCCCATGAGAGACAGGAATTAATCATAGGGCCAGGGTGGGAGGGACTCTTCTGTCTCATCTTCTCTCTCAAACTGGCATAAAGGACCCTGATAAATACACAGCAGAGGAAGCTGTTCAGTCTTCCTGCTTAGCTCCGGTCAAGTCTAGACTCTGTGCCCAGTATGCTTTCCCCTCCAAGTCCTCTCCCTCTGGCTGTGTATTTTGTTTTGTTTGTTTCCCCCCCTTTCCTGAATACTTCATGTCTTCACCTCTCACTCACTCCTCTCAGTAAGCTTTTATGTTCTTGGCAACGTTCTCACCAAGGTCAAGAGTGACCTCCTACTAACCAAGACTAGTGATTTCCAGGATTGTCTTCGTTGACTTGATCTCCCAATCCTGTTTGAAGCTATTGGCCACTTCTTCCTTCTGGAAACTCTCTTTTCTTGTCTTTGGAGACTTCCTCCTCCTGCTTTTCTGATCTTGGCTTCCCCATCTCCACCTTCCTCCCCCGTCCTGAAAATGTTGACAAGTTCCCAGTTCTCTGTGCCAGGACATGAATCATGGTAGGTCTAAGAACACAGTAAATAATTTATCTTTGCCTGTAATTTGTTGAACGGTGGACACGTGACATAGCTCCAGCCAATGGGGCATGAGTAGAAGTTTGAGTGGGAGGGATTTCAGGTGTCAAGTGTGTGAGGACAAGCAGCCTTTCCTGTCTTTAAACAAGATATGCGGATACGGTGCCTGAAGCTGCAGCATCTATCTTGTAGATAAGAGGATTTGCCTCCCCACAACAGGATCAATCACAGTGATGCTGTCTTGGGGTTTTGATGTAGTTAAGCCAAGGAATGCATCAGTCCTGGCCTGGCCTTATTCCCTTTTTTTTTTCTTTTTGTCCTGTTTGCAGTGTCATACATGAACATCAAACTGCTGCTATAATGTTCACATCTGTTCCTGCAAATCTGGCCCTGCTATTTTTATTTTTAAGCTGCTTAAAACACCCCTGACCGATATATTGGGAGAGTCTAACATCTCCCATGATTTCAACTACCAGCTGTCAGCTGATGCCTCCCAAGTTTGTGTTTAATTCAGATCTCTTGCCCACAGCATCACAGATGTCTTTACCTGGATACCCCTTAAGCCCAGTGTCTAAAACAAAACCCATCTGTATATCCTCTTATTCTCGGACCAAATTAATTTGCCTTGTGTCATCCTGCAGTACTTTGTTCACACCTCTTCCAGCTAGAGCACTTGTCCCCTGGGTTTATTTGTTGTTAACTATCTTCTCTTCTAGAACATAAACTCCCAGAGGGCTGGAAACTTACCCTTCTTTAAATCTCCAGTGTCAAGTGGGAGCTCATTGTGTTCTTGTTGAACAAATTAGTTTGTGAATGTTCAGATACGTTCAGCTGCATATCATACAATACCTGAAGAATTGTAACTTAAATTGTAAAGACATTTATCTCACAAAATATGAAGTCTGGAGGTAGGTGGTTCAAGAATTAGTTAAGCAGCTCAACAGGGTCAGGGCACTGAGTCAGAATCCCTGAGATTCTCTTGTCTCTGATCTCTGAGTATCTCTGACATTCTTCATG